CAAGCGCTAAATGGGAGGCAACCAATTCCTTTTTATTTTATTTTATTTTATTTATTTATTTTTATTTTTTTCTTTTTACATTTTTATTTTCTTGTTTTTCTAGTGTTTAGAAAACTAACAAACAAAAAGGTCATCACCGCCCCGAGGTAATTTTCCAACTCCCACACGTTGCAATGAGGCCATTGCCGAGTGTAGCTTAGGGGAGACTTGTGTATATTTATCTCAGTATGTTCTCTTATTTTCTTTTGCTTTGTTGGTTTGTTTTTATTGCTTTGGTTTCTATTGCTTTGGTAGTAAAGAAAAAAAAATTTGAAAAAATACGAGAATCATGATAATGAATGGCCATTGAACTACTTCCCTGTGCCCCTATCCTTAATGTCAATAAGGTTTTGATTTAATTTCGATTAAAAGACTTGCATTGTGGACTAAAAGATCATTATTTGACCTTGAATTGGTTGGTCCCTAGTAGGAGTCAAAGCTATTAACCATATATTATTTAGGAGTTTGACTGTGTTAACCGTGAGGCTTGAGCCTTACTTTTTCATTCATGTGTGTTTAGTTCCTGGTGTGACATTGATCTTAGTTTTGATTCTAGACTTTTAGTAGTGTGTCATTATGCATTGCACGTGCACGTTAAAAATGACGAACGCCATGTTCATTAGGTGACCTCCAGACAAATTTAGAATATTTGTTCCCTTCTTGCTCACCCATGTTGTAGCTAGTCTATATTTTTCGTAAACCTCACAAATTCACCCCTTAGCCTCGAATTGGTTACTTTTCCCAAGTTTGTCTTGGGGGAGTTTCATTATGTGGTGTTTTGTGTGATTTTGTTACAAGTTGCAGCTAATGGGGATTGTATGAAAAAATAAAAATAAAAAAAGAGAAACGAGAAAAGAAGGAATTATTAGCATGGAGTTTTGTACTTGAAGAACAAAAGAAGTAAAAAGAAAGGAGAACAACAAGAAAATTATTTTTGAAAAAAAAGGAAAGAATGATTGTTCTTGAAAAAACCAAAAACAAGATGAAGTCGATATGAAAAATAAAAAGAGTTCGAGGTCGAAAGAAAGAAAGTGTTAGTGGATGTTCCTTGAATGATTTGGGTATGTGTTTTGTTGATAAAATGGTGAATCGAGGGTGTGATTAATTGCATTTGATAGCTCCCCGGTTAGACTAATATAGCCCACATTTTCCCAAATTATTTCCTACCCATTCTTATTCCCGGCCTACGTTACAAGCTTGAAAAAAGTCCTTCCGATCTTCGTGCATAGCATTGTGTTCATGTGAAACGAGTCTTTTGTCAAAATGCTGGAGTATATGTTACATTTCGAGTCTACATTTTACTAGGTTGAGCGATATTATAACCTTCTAAATACGTGAGTGTTGTGAGATGAGGGGATTGCATTATTGGTGGGGATGGTGAGAGATCGAGCTCATTTTTAGCTCGCCACATAAAAAGTTTATAAAGTGACCACTAATGTGAGGTATTCTAGTCATCGATTCTTGAAGTTGTACATGGGTGGTTTCGTTTGACGACTATTTAGGTTGATCGATGGTTTGAATGATTTGATTGTTTGGCTAAGATGCATGCTTGTTTGATTTCGATTTTGAGTCCGTGTTTTAAAATTGCATTATGGGGTGAAGTATGTTGTTTGGTGGTTGATTATTTTTTATTGTCTTGCTTGAGGACAAGCAAGAGTTTAGCTTAGGGGAATTTAATGTACACGTTTTATACATAGATTTATCCCGATTTTACATCACATTCTTGCATGATTTTAGGCTCTTTAGAGCCGTTTCTCGCTAACAATCTCTTCTTTAGTGTGTTCGATATGTTTTTATAAGTTTTACAGGAATTTGAAGTTTCTTGGATGATTCGGACACATTTTGAACGTTTATGGAGGTGTTAGTGAACAAGGATGAAGAACCGAGCTAAACACGAGCTAAGCCTGAGAAGCAATGCAAGCAAACACCCTGTTTCTACTGTGCCCGATTGGGCCATGCTTGCCCAGTTGCACCGCGCATAGAAGGGTTGCCGTGAGCTGCTAATTACGAAGAATTAAAGCAAGCTAAGCCATTTATCCCACGCGCTCGATTGGGTTATGTGTGCCCGGTTGGACCGAGCGCGTGGTGGTTGAAGCAGCTGCGAAGACTACGACGCAGAGCTGGCAACAATGCAAGAGAGTGCCTCGCGCCCGATTGGGCAGCCATCGCCTGGTTGGATCGGGCACCGAGGGGAAAAGCTACGAAAGAAGATGTAGCGCAATGAGGTTCCACCTGCCCGATCGGGCAGTGCTCGCCCGGTCTGACCAGGAAGGGTTATGCGCAAGTTGATTTTCTTATTTTTGGGATTTTATTTCATTAAGGGAATAAATATCCCTTGTAATCCTCATTAGAAAACATATAATTAATTCCTTATGTTTTATTTTCTCTCTCTAGAACCCTAGTTTATTTCTTTCAAGCAATTTAATTCCTTCATTAGATTTTATTATTGTTGATCAACATTTTGAGTTATTTTAATTTATGCATCATTGGTATTCATCTCTAATTCCTTTCTCTTTCGATTATCATTGTTTTCAATTATGTTTTCTCTGATTATTTTTTGTTATTGCTTATTTAAATATGTGTGAGTAGTTTTTATATTCCAAGATCTAGGGTAGCCCAATTATGATTGATGCATGAATTGATTCTTTAAATTGTCTAATAACTATTGCAATTATTTATGCTAAGTTGATTGTGATTATACCAATACTAGATTAGAGATAATTAGTATTGTTGTTATTCCAAAGTTCTAATCACAACGAGAGTAGGGTTTTAACGGATTTGAGTAGATCAATTTAGGGTTTGAATTTCATTACGAGAGTAGTTGAATTGATAATTAAGAAGTGAAATAAAGTTTTCAATGTCTCTAATTTGCATGATTCCATGAGAATAGGTTTGATTGTGGTTAGAGAAGCCATTGATACTCGAGAGAGGTCCTTGGTATTGATTAAGGTTTACTTTTCCCCATGTTAATTAGATTTGTATGCTAGGGGTAGATAGATAATTGCATTGATCGTAATTGTGGTGATACTTGATCTTGGATGTTTAGTATATTGATTCATTATATTCTTTTGATTAATTCTAGTTTTTCGTACATTAGTTCTTAGCTTATTCCACCATTAATTTGATTCTTGCTTAGTGATTATTTGAGTCTAGATAATTTAGGAGAACCTTAGTCTCTTAGGATTCGATCCTTACTTTCCCGTCTACATAGTAGTGGTCTAGTTAGGTTATTTTTGTTAGGTACGCGACACGCCTATCACCTATCCCTAGTTCTTAATTTGTTCTTAACAGCCATCCAAGTGACAAATGAGTGCTTAGGGATATTGTACTTATTCTAAATCCAATCAACCCAAATAATCTTCATAACATCTCCTTGCAACCATCTGTAACCATCAGAGATTTTGTAACCATCAAAGCAAAGTTAAAATATGTTTTGCAAAGTTTTAATATGTTTAGTAAGGTGAAACTAAAGTGAAGAGAGGCAGATTTAGTAAGGTGTTTGCTGGGTTTGGGAATACTTGGGCAAATACTGCTAATTATAGTAAGGCAATTAAGGGGTAGGATATGGGTTATCTGGATTCCCAGCGTATTTTGTGTTACTGTTATTAGGGTGGAGGTGCAATTAATTCATGTTGAGGTGATTCACAGGGATACAAGAACTAAATTTTGGTTCACTACAGTGTATGGTTTGAATACTGGGCATCAGAGAGAGGGTCTTTGGAAACAGTTGATTGAGATTGCTAGTACTGTTACAAGTCCATGGATCGTTGGAGGTGATTTCAATAATATCATGAACTTGGGTGATAGAATTGGTTCTCCTTGTTCCTTTTATAAGGTTGATCAGTTCAGGAATTGCTTAAATGAGACTAAACTTATGGAGATGAACACTGGTGGGAGCTTCTTTACCTAGACTAACAAACAACAAGGATAGGATAGAGTGTGTACCAGAATTGATAGGGCTCTTGTGAATAGTGCTTAGAATGTTTCTTTTCCTCATGCTTCTACTAATTTTTTGCCAGAAGGGTTAATGGACCATTATCCTTGTAGTATTGATATTTTTGGAAGGGCTTACAATGTTAAGAAGCCTTTTAGATTTTTTAACATGTGGATTGAGGCTCCTGGTTTTATGGATATTGTAAGACAGGCTTGGTGTGTTCCTGTTTCTGACACTAATATGTTTATGGTTGTGAAAAAATTACAGAAGGTGAAAGGGGCCTGAAAGAATTAAATGTGAGGCATTTCTCTATTATTGAGATTGATGATGCTTCTTGTGCTGCTATTTTGGCTGAGGTTCAGGTTAATCTGAGTACAAACCCTGGTAATGAGCAGTTGATAGCTGCTGAAAAAAAGATGCTAGGGACAGATATACCATAGCTCATGCTGCTAGATTTCCGTTCCTTAAACAGAAAGCCAAATTGCATTGGCTGAAGGAGGGTGATTCTAACTTAGCTTATTTTCATTCCTGTTTGAGGCAGAGAAGAGTCAATAACAGAATTAGTGGGATCCAGGATAATGAAGGTAATATTGTTCAAGATCCAGACAAAATAGCTGATCTCTTTTTATAAGGGCTTGCTGGGAACTAAAAAACAAGTTGAGTGTTGTTTTCATCCTGCTATCTTTTCAGAGGGACCTATTTTAACTGATAATCATAAATCCAGTATCTGTAGAAGCTTTGATGTGAATGATGTGAAGGGAGCTCTTTGGGAGATTGATGACAATTAAGCTCCTAGTCTAATGGGTTCTCTAGCAAGTTTTTTAAGACTGTATGGAATGTAGTTGGCTCTGATATTTGTAATGCTATTTTGGGTTTTTTTTATCATGGCCATCTGTTGAAGCAAATAGGGGCTTCTACTCTTACTCTTGTGCCTAAAATTGACAGTGCTTCTAAGGTAACTCATTTTAGACCTATTGCATGTTGCAATGTTACCTACAAAATCATCTCTAAATTGATTTGTTCAAGAATGAAGGAGGTGTTGCCTAGTTTGATTGATGATGTTCAGGGAGCCTTTGTTTCTGGTAGGTCCATTTTAGAAAATTACCTTATTTGTCAAGATATGTTGAAGGATTATGGCAATAAGAGGAAATCTCCGAGATGCACTATTAAAGTTGATACTAGCAAAGCTTATGACTCTGTGAGTTGGAGCTTCATTCAAGATATGCTAGTTTGTCTAGGGTTCCCTGATAAATTTGTTCATTGGATAATGACCTGTGTTACCTCTCCTGTATATTCAATTCTGATTAATGGGGGTATGTATGGTTTTTTTAAGGGTCAAAGAGGTGTGAGACAGGAGGATCCTATGTCTCCCTAACTTTTTGTCATTGTCATGGAGTATCTCTCTAGATTATTAAAGAAAGTGGGTAAAAAAAAGGGGTTCAAATATCATTATAGGTGTAAACAGTTGAGATTGGATCATCTCATCTTTGCTGATGATTTGATGATGTTTGCTCATGGTGAAAAGCTTTCTATTTCCTACTTAACTAGGGCTCTTGAGATGTTTGGAAAAGTTTCTGGTCTTCAAGCCAATTCAGACAAGACAGCCATATACTTTGGCAATGTTAAGGAGGATGTGAAACAAACTATTTTAAGTGCTTCTGGATTTGCTGAAGGATCTATGCCTTTTAGATAATTAGGTATTCCACTGAATGACAAGTATCTAAGGGTTGGTGATTTTGACAAACTGGTGGATAAGATGCTGGTTAGACTTACTAGATGGTGTAGTAAGAACCTTTCTTATGCAGCTAGAGTGTTGTTGATCAACTCAGTGTTAATGAGCCTTCATACTTACTAGGCTCAATGTGTTTTGCTCCCTAAAACTGTTATTTAGAGGATTAATCAATTATGCAGGGCCTTTTTATGGTGTGGTTCTGCTACTCTGTCTAACCAGGCCCCTATTGCTTGGACCTAGGTGTGTAAGTCCAAGAAAGGTGGTGGCCTGGGAATCAGAGATGTAGAGCTATGGAATAAAGCAGCTCTGGGAAAATTAGTTTGGAGAATTGATGTGAATAAAGAGTCCCTTTGGGTTAAGTGGTTTCATAGTGTGTACGTCAAAGATGTGAATTGGTGGGCTTATACTCCTAAGAAGGCTGATGGTCATACTTGGAGGATGATCTGTGCAGTAAGAGATGATTTGAGGGAGGGATTCACAGCTGAGAATTGGCAAAGTACTGGTTACAGAATCTCTAACGGTTACAGATGGTTGCAAGGAGATGTTGTGAAGATTATTTGGGTTGATTGGATTTGGAATAAGTACAATATCCCTAAGCACTCATTTGTCACTTGGATGGCTGTAATGAACTGATTAAGAACTAAGGATAAGCTTCAAAAATTTGGGGCCTGTGATACAGCAGTATGTATGTTGTGTGGTGATCATGGTGAAGATCGAAAGCGTCTATTTTTCAGATGTGCTGATAGCAGAAAATGTATCAAGATTGTCAGTTAGTGGTTACAGATTACTAAGGTGTGGTATGATATTGATGCTTCTTGGAAGCACTGGAAACGAGCTAATGAGGATCCTGTGAAGTAGAAGGTTTGCCTTCATGTCCTTACTGCCCTGGTTTATGGAATTTGGGCTGCTCGAAACTTTGTCTTTTGGAACAATGCTGTCATCAGGACCAACAAGTTATGCATTAACTTGTGTATGGAGGCGATTAACAGAGTTCAGCATCTTATTAGTGACAAATGGATGAGAAGTCAGTGTAAATGGCTATTTGAAATTAGGAATAGTATTCTTAAGTAATTGTTAGTTGTTTGTAGTTTGTTTCTGTTTTGGATGTTGTTTGGCCCTTTTAGGGTTGTGTAGTTTTGGGTTGAGGGCTTACCCTCCTTTTGGTAATAAAATTTCTTACTTTCCACAAAAAAAAAATAAATAAAAAAACTATCAAAGCAAAGTTAAATGCATTAAAAAACATTCATTTGGGGGTTTGTCTTTGGTTGAGTTTTTTCTCCTTTTAAGGCGATTTGCTAAGATCGTTTTTCTCATTCAGCTTTTTTATTATGACGCGCAAGAAGAAGTAATCAACCCCACTCCCTCAAACCCCTTCCTTTGGATCCTTAGCTCCATCTAATCTTAATCATTTGAAGACTGTGATTGTTTGTGGAAATCCAAGCTCTATTCCTAAAGTTGAAAATGAACACGATCTGGTGACTCCGCCTTTATATTTGGTTCATTCTTCAACTGGTAAGATTCTTAGATATGATCAGACCACTTTAGGGAGTTTGTATCAAGCTTAACAAATCGAATTGCAGCTGAAAATCTATAAAACAGTAAATCAGGTTCCTAGGGTTTTCTCGGTTACTGTTCCATTGCCTGATCCTCAATTACTGTCTCTGAAGCTAATACAAATGGATCTGGCTACCATATTGCTCCTCTTTAATCGATTGAATAGCCTAGCAAACATGATGAATGGAGAAATTTGTTTAGAGGCAAGCTCACTGCTAAGGGTACTACTCTGTCTTTTGTAGCCCCTGTTCTTAAAGATGGGTAAACTATGGCTCAGCTTCAGGCTTTAGAGATTAATGTACGTAATACTAAGTGGTGTAATGTAATTATTTTCTATGTTGTGGGTTTCTATCCTACTATTGTTGTTGTTCATAGATTCATAGCTCAACATTGGAGTAACTTTGCGAAACCTAATATATTCTAGCATGATGATGGTTACTTCATAATCAATTTATGTTATGCAGAAGATAAGATTGTTATTTTGAGTTTAAGACCTCACATGTTTGATAACAAACCTGCCATAGTGAAACCATGGAGTGATAAGTTTAATTTTCAGGCTGAAATCTTGAGAAGTGTTCCTCTATAGGTTAGGCTTCCTAACTTACCTCTTAACTGTTGGGGGCCTAAAACCTTAAGTAGAATTAGTAGCCTTCTTGGAGTACATGTATATGCTGATGACTGCACATCTAGGCAGCTTTGGGTTTCATTTGTTAGGATGCTTGTTGAATTTGATATAACAAAACCCTTACCTAGCACTGTTCTTGTGGAAATCCCTTTTGGGGAAATTATTGAATTCAAGGTTCAATTTAAGTGGACCCCACCCTTCTGTAAAAGTGTAATAGGGTTTTTCATGACTATTCTATTCCTAAGGACAAGTCTAATGGAGAGATAAAGCAACCTGATCACAAACAAAAGCTGGTTTGGGTTCCCAAGCAAGTTCCTCAAACTGTTGCCATTCAAGAGAATTCTATGCACAGAGCCACTAAGCCTACAAACCCCCTTGTGATAACACTGGTTCCTGACAGTATTGTTGCTCATTCAGATGATGGGTGGAGAGTAGTGGGAAGGAAGACTAAAGCACAAAATTCCAGGAAATCTCAGCATATTATTGCCAGGGTTAATGCTTATAATGCTCTAATTGCTGATGAAGTTGCTTCTGGTGGTGTACCTATCGGGGGTGATGGTAATCCCCCTCTAGTGCCATGATTATTACATCCTAGAATATTAGGGGTCTCAATGACCCTAATTAAGTGACTACTGTTAAGAAGTTACTTATAAAAAAAACTATTGATGTTATTGCCATTCTTGAAACAAAAGTGAAAATGCATAATCAAATTTCAGTTCAGAAAAAGTTCGGGAGGGCTTAGGAGTGGATTTCCAACCACTGTTTTTCTCCAAAAGGTAGAATTTGTGTTGGTTGGAAGTGTGATGTTGTCAACCTTGATGTTGTTACAGTGAATGAACAATTTATTCATACTATTATTACTTTTAAAGATCCATAGCACCAGATTGCTTGCACCTTTGTTTATGGGCTTCACTCTATCCAACATAGGGGTCTTATGTAGAGAGATATTAAGGGTTTGGGCCAGATTCAGCTTCCCTAGTTGTGATTAGGTGACTTTAATTATGTTCTCCTTTCTCATGACAGGATTAATGGTAACCAAATCACAAATTATGAGGCAAAGGATATTCAAATAAAACTTTGTCCAAGACTAAGAACTTATTCAGATCAAGAGCAAAGGCTGCTTCTATTCTTGAAATAATAAAGGGCAAGGAACTGACATAATTGCTACTAGAATTGATAAAGGGTTGATTAATGAAGCTTGGATGCTGTCTTTTGGGAATGTTGAAGCTCTTTATCTCCCTCCTGACTTATCTAATCATTATCTTATTCTTATTAATATTGGTCATGCTGCTCCTAGTAGAGGTAGACCTTTCAGGTTTTTGAATTTCTTAACTTCTCATATTGATTTACTTAACACTGTGCTTACTCATTGGGAGGATCCTGCTATTGGTAACCCTATGGTTATAGTTTAGAATAAATTACAGTCTGTTAAAGCTGGTGTAAAAGGCTTAAATACTAAACATTTTTCTAAGGCTCTTGAGAACCTTCATAATGCTAGAAATACTTTACATGACATTCAAACCAAGCTTGCTGATGATTATTCTAATATTAGTCGATCTTCAAAATCAGGAAGAGAAGGCTATTAAGAAAGTTAAACATTGGATGGACATTTAAGAAAGTATTCTAAAGCAAAAATCAAGGGTTGACTTGATTAAATTAGGGGACTCTAATTTCCACTATTTCTTTTCTGTTTTAAAGCAAAGACAAAACAGGAATATAATTGATTCCATTTACACAGATGATAATATTCTTCTCATAGATCTTGATTTTATTAAGAATGCAATTTTAGCCTTTTATAAGAAGCTTATGGGGTATACTGCTGATTTCTTGCCTGATGTAGATATCAGTACTCTCAGAGTTTGAAAGCAACTTGATGCTGCATCTTGTGCTCTTATTTCCAGTCCTATTACTCATGCTGAAATTGATCAGGCTTTGGCTTGTATTGGGGATGCGAAAGCTCCTGGTATTGATGGCTTTAATGCTGTATTTTTTAAGCATGCTTGGAGTCCTATCAAAGCTGATGTGTATAGAGCTATCCTTAACTTTTTTAACCATGGTGTGATTGCTAAGTAGTGGAACTATACTACTATCACTCTTGTTTCCGAAGTGCAAAGCCCTTCCTATGTCGAGGAATATAGATCTATTGCTTGTTGTAATATGGTTTACAAGCTGATTTCTAAGGAGATAACAGCAAGAATGGCTTAGGTTAATTGTTCTATTATAAGCAATGCTCAAGCTGGGTTCATTCCTAGCAGACACATTGGTGATAACACTCTTCTTGCTACAGAACTCATCAAAGGATACTCCCATAAGTTTATAACTCCTAAGTGTATGTTGAAAATTGATTTATGAAAGGCTTATGATTCTGTAGAATGAGGTTTCCTAAGAAATGTCCTTGGTGAGTTTCCTAACAAAGTTATTGGTTAGATGATGGGGTGTATGACCTCTGTCTCTTATTTAGTGCTCCTTAATGGCTATCCTACTACCCCATTTCCTGCCAAGAAAAAGTTAAGACAGGGTGACCCCGTGTCTTCCTTTCTTTTTGCAATATCCTTAGAGTACCTATCTAGATGCTTAAATTAAATGACTAGTAACCCAAATTTTAGCTTTCATCCATGATGTGAAAAATTAGGGATTACTCACATGACGTTTGTTGATGATTTTCTCCTTTTCTCTAGAGCTGATCTGGTTTATGTCCAGCTTCTCCAAAAGGCTTTTCAGAAATTTTCTAAGGCTTCTGGTCTTGCAGCAAATCTTGAGGAAAGTGATGTTTATTTTGGTG